TGTGCAGTCCTTAGCAATGGTGGCCATGCAGTCCATAGCTCATTGAGAGAACAGACCCATTATTGCTGGGAAGGCGGGCCCCTTGACTTGTTGTACTCTCTGTTGGGTGATAGCTTGGCAAGTGTCATGCTACCCAAGAAAGGTAGAGAAGAAAGGAAGAGTGCTTGGCTCCGTGTTGCATGTGGGTGTGCATGGGCCTGTGAGCTGGTGCGTGAATACAGCCAGGCGCTCCCACACCTTCACAGACCAACCCTGAATTGGTCACAGACTCAGCCCTGAATTCAAGAAGTGAACTTTAAAATTAAAGGAACCTTCTAGCATTAAAACACAAAAGACTAGCCAGGGGCTGGGGGCTCACACCTGGAATCCTAGCTACTTAGGAAGCTGAGCTCTGAGGATCACAGTTTGAAGCTAGCCCAGGCAAGAAAGTCTGTGAGACTCTTATCTCCAATTAACCACCAGAAAACTGGAAGTGGTGCTGTGGTTCAAAGTGGTAGAGCACTATCCTTGAGCAAAAGAGCTCAGAGACAGCACCTGGGCCCTAAGTTTACCATGACCAAAATAACAACAATAACAACAAAGCAAGAGACTTTGGAAGAGAATTTGGTGAATAAATGAAGGATCCACAAGAACAAAGTTAGAATGATCAGGTGATTTGTAGATACTTTTGAGGCAGGGAGAAAAACATCAAAGAGGCATATGGCCCAAAGCAGAATTTCTTTGTATTAGAATAATTGTGTGTGTGTGTGTGTGTGTGTGTGTGTGTGTGTGTGTGTGTGTATACACTTAATGTGTAATGCCTCCTAGGGTCTTCCATCTGGGAAGACAGAATTATTTGTAGGCTTCTCTCTTAGCACTTGTGCTCAGTGGTCTTAACAGGTCTTAAGTGCCAAGTAGGGGGAGGAGGGTTGTGGATAGTGGTGGATGTCAGCAGCATGGCCAGAGATGGACAGAGAGTTTCTATCCCATGGCTATGTTGTACTTCAGTGTCACCTGACTTTGCCAGAGCTCTTCTACCTCAAGTTGGCCCTCACCACATCCAGAACTTTGATTTGCACTTCCCCCAGTCACTTCCTCACTCCCAATTCATATTCTTTTTCCTGTGGTTCCTTCATCATCTCTAAAGCAAAAGCAAACCTGGCATCTTGCTCTTGTGGTTGTTTTGGGAGCTTTATTGGAGGCCGAGAATAATGGTTACTGGTTCTGTTTTTCCTTCCTTGGCACCTAATGAGTGGCTTTCTTGTCCTGGATTCTGTGTACATCTAGGAGAGGCAGGGAGCTGAGGTGCCAACAGCTTCTGTCAGAATCGCCTGGTGTTTACTGTGCTGTGAGTTTATATCAGCCTTGTTTCCATACTGACAGCAAATGCCATATGGAAAGGAAAAAATCCTGTCAGATGAACTCTTAAGGAATCACAATATGGTACATGAAATTTCATAATTGCTTTTGGAAATGGCAAGAGGTTACCTTGCTCAAATCACACAAGAAGGATTGTGCTATCTTCCATAACTGAATGAAACTGAAGTCTGACACAAGGTTATATGCTTTGGTTTTGTGTTTGTGCTGAAAAGCTCTCTGATTGGGAAAGGACGTGAAGGCTTGTTTTCCTCCCCTGGAGTGTCAGGCTGAGTGGGAAGCAGCAAAGCAGGTGGGCTGTATATGGGGGCCTCATGTTAACAGGTGCAGGCAGCAGACCTGTCACAGACCACAGAGACCAGAGTCCCTCCTGGGCTGGCAATAACACTCCTCTAACTTGACATTTCATAACTGTCACTCTGGATCTTGTCTGCTTACCCACACACACCCCTGCTGCCCTCTCCAGCCGTGCAGCCCACTTCCTTGCCCCTTTATAAGCTGGTATACACTGAGGCTAATGCTTGTTGGTGTACCTGCAGTGCACCATCTGTGCCTGCAGAGGTGGAGCTTGTGCCCCCGCTGAAGAGCAGAGTTGAGGTGAGAGGCCACTGCTAGTCTAGCCTCCAAAGCCCTTGGGAAGGGGCCAAGTAGAGGAGGACTTGGCAGGTGGCTCATCAGTGTTGATCAAAGTATCCACTTGAGAGAAGGTGGCATTTTTTAGTGACTTCTTTTTTTTATGTAAATTTTTATTGTAAAAATACTGTACATAGGGGTTACAGTTGCATGAGAAGAGTAATGAGTACCTTTCCTATTGAGCATTGTTACTTCCTCCCTTGTTTTTCCCCTACCATCCCTTCCTTCCCCACCTCCCCACCTCCTCCTTCCCTCCCCCACACAAGTTGTAAAGTTTGTTTTCAACATAGTGTCTTGTACATCTCATGGTTACAATGGGTCAACATGTATCCCTATTTAAGTATTTTGGTTTTCCCCTTCCCCTCCCCAAATTAGAAAAGTGTATATATAAGATGCAGGGCACTGGACTCAAATACAATGAAAACTTCCCCATGGGGAAGGAATATACAAAAGGAACAAAAAAAATCACATAGAACATTATAAGGACGTCAAAAACAATAGCAAGAAAGAAAAAACTACTTATGTCCCTGTCTTGGGGTTCATTTCACTTAACATCATCTTATATGGTCATATGTACATAGCTCTTGACCTTTTCTGCTTGTCCTAGACATATACTAGTTATTGCAAATAAGAGAAACCATGGGACCTATGTTTCTTTGGGCCTGGCTTACTTTACTTAATATAATCTTTTCCCAAGTCTTTCCGTTTCCTAACAAATGGGACAATGTAATTCGTTCTGATGGAGGCGTAGAATTGCAGTGTGTGTGTATGTGTGTGTATGAAGGTGGCATTTTTTTTTTTTTTTAGTGACTTCTTTCTAAGATACTTAGAGCTAGTGCGTTCATACAAAAGAAGCTCCTGCCACGGTCAGTTTGCCCATGAAAGCAGCAGTGTGTATCTGTCTACTCAGTGGTCTTATGGTTCCTAAAGACAGATGTTAACATCACTGCAGAAGCAGCATCCTAGTCAGGTAGACAGACATTAAGGCCCAGGGATGCTTTCTGGGGCCGCTGGCTACTCAGCTCTTTCCTAGTACAACACCATTCTCCGTGGACTCCTCCTGCTGGCCTTTGTCAGCAAGAGACGGGCAAGTATCTTTCCAGGAAGTTTTAACAGAAGCCCTGAAAGGATTCCAGGGCTGGCTTGGAGTCACAAACCTTGGCCTTATTAGCTCCCACCAAGTAAGAAGCTCTCCCTAAACCTACCACTGTAGTCAGAAGACAGAGACCTCCAATTGGCTATGACCGAGTTGTAAGACCACCTTTACCTTCTTCTTAGGACTGGAAGGCCAAAGCTCTGATTGGCCGAGTAAGATACCCATCTCTAAAACCTCTCCCTCTGAACCACAACTCTATGCCCTCCAAATCCAGATCACTTGGTCTAGATATGTTCAAACTTGGGGAGAAAGAAGAGAGATGGAACAGACCAATAATATCCACATCTAGGACAGTGGGTAGTGTTTACTAAGCATTTCTCAGGCACAAGGCTCTAATCTGAGTACTTTCTTAAATCAGTCAGTATTATCTTAAATCAATCTCCATGGCCAGGTACCGAGCTTGTTCTCAGCTGACAGATGAGAAAAATGGTGAGGCAGAGTATGAGTTTCCCCAGGTCACACTGGCAGTGAGTTTTGGGGGCTAGATTTGAATCTTGATCCTACACACAACTATCATAAGGTCCTCCCTCCCCACAAGTAATAGCTCATTCCATCCTGTAGACATACTCTTTGGAACCCAAAAGTAAAAGTTAGGGGGTGGGATGTTTGTCCCATATCCCTGGAGAAACCCTTTCTGGGGGACATTTTCCCTGTTCCTCTTCACCTGACAAGGATGGAGCCCCTCCTTTCCACCATGTCATTTTCCTCTAGCTCTCACTGTTTCTCCAGCAGCTACAAAATGGAAGGCTTGTTGTTCTGAGCTCAGAAGGGTCTGAGTCAGTGTCCCAGTCAGTGCTTTGAGCATCTTTCTGGCTGGAGACAGCATACAGAGGCTTTAGCCTCTTTTAATTGTAAGAAAAGCCAGAAAGGGCTCTTGTCCCAATCCAAACATGTACTTTTGGTTCTTAGGGAAGAAACTGAGGCTCAGAGAATATGAGCTATTTGTAGCAACAAAGCAATTCAAGGTTAGCAGTCCTTCTTCTGGCCTTGGAGCTGGGAGTCTTGTCCTTCTTCTCTGCAGAACTTCTTGGCTACTGAGTGGCTGAGGGCAAGTCACTTCCTGTCTCTGTGCTTGTAACTCCTCTGCAGAGTTTTCATAATGCGAAGCATCCGAAGAGTGGGCTTTGCTCCAATTGGGTAAAAAATGAATCTTAAAAAAAACAAAAACAAAAAACCAACAACACTGTATCCACTAGGATGCTTTGAATTATAAGTAATTTAATTTTTTCAAACTGCTGTAAACAAAGGGAATGTGTTGTTTCATAACTAAGTTTTTCAGATGTGGTTTGGGCTTCAGGCATGGTTTGATCCAGAGATCTGGATATCAGTCTGCTTTTTGTCATTTCCCCCAGCTCTGACCTCCCCTGGTGGCCATCCTTACAACAGCTTTCCCTGTAACTCAAGGGCCTTGCTGCAGACCCAAGTCCCACACCCACGCACTGGCTTCCAGAAGACAAGAGCTTTTCTGCTTCTGCTGATTGGCCTGGCTTAGGTCATGTGTTGGCTACCCCATTGCCCAGTTGCCAGAATCAGGAAATGTGTTGTGCTGATTGGCTAGCCAGAGGCTTGAGCTATACTCCCCAGAACCAGCGGCACCTCATTACAGAAATCTGGGCATTGGAAAGGCAGAGTGTGTGGGGAGTAGATTCTGAGTGGTGAGTGGTGAGTGGCACCATCCTCTGTAGCACTGGACTTGTCTCTCTGGGTTTGCAGAGCTTGTGAGGTGCATAAGGACCTCAAGAGTTCACTATTACCTTGTTCCATGCAGCCAGGACTCTGGACCAAGTATTGGGTGAACTGTGAACCTGCCTGGCCCTCCCTTGCTCTCACCACATTCCTCTTGTCTTGTTTCCAGACAGAGATTACTGCAGTCTATGTGACAAGCAGCCAATTGGGAGGCTGCTTTTCCGGCAGTTCTGCGAAACTAGGCCTGGGCTGGAGTGCTACATTCAGTTCCTGGACTCGGTGGTAAGTCCCTGCCCCTGGAGGGAGCAGCCCTTGGGTCTTCTATGATCAGAAACTTTGTTCAAATAAAAGAAAGATAGACTTCATGGCTTAGAAGTTTATTAACACAAAAAGGTAGCTCTTAGATTCATTCCATCATCTTTCTTCAGGCTGAAACCCATTTGATAAAAACCCAATCCAAGCAGGTGCAGGTGGCTCACACCTGTGATCCTAGCTACTCAGGAGGCTGAGATCTGTAGATTCCCATTTAGAGTCATCCTGGGCAGGAAAGTCCATGAGACTATTCTCTACGATTAACCACCAAAAAGGTACAAGTGAAGTTGTGGCTTAAGTAGTTGAGATCTAGCCTTGAGCAAACAACTAAGGGACAGTGCCCAGGCCCTGGGTTCAAGCCCCAGTACTGACATGTGTGTGCAAGCATGTGCACGCACGCACACTTGTTAGCAGGACTTTATTTACTGGCTTACATTCTGCTTCCCCATGAGAGTAAAAGCCCCAGTCTCTGGGCTTCCTGATCACCTGACTCACCACAACTCTGGAACACAGTTAAAGCCTGGGGAATGAGTACCCATTGGCTGTTGTAGCCATTCTGACAGCGGACAGATGGGTTTGTCCCTGGCTGAGGTGGCCATGCATGATGTTGTTGGGACTTCTTTCAGCTGTGCTATAATTATTCTTTTGCTTAACAAATACCTTGATTCTATACAAACTTTTAGAACTGGATATGGAAGTACTCATCTCTCAGGCCTTACCCAGGAAGGAGTAGCCCCATAGCCTAGCCAAGCACTCTTTTCCATCTGAGGAGTGAGGACAAGGGGTAGGGAAGCAAGGTTTGGAGACCAGTTGTGAAAAGAATGGGGTCATCTGCCCTTCAGGGGCACAGTCACCATGCTGTGGATTCCTAGAAATCCCACGCTGTTCTTGGTACAGCTCCCCCCCCCCCCCCCCCCCACTCCTGGTTTGGAGGATGGCCTGCCAGGCTCAAGTTTCTGTGTCTCTTCAGGGTTTCTATATGGCTTTCTAGGCTCATAAATCATCTACCCACTAGATATCCCTACCCAAATCTCATAGGCCCCCTCAAAGTCAGCATTCTCAACTACTTCCAGGCCCTGAAAGCACCCTACCCTGATATATACCCTATTCTAGAGACGAGCACCCCCTGGTCCTCCAAGCCTGAAGTCTCTGCGTGCCCTCAACCGTCTTCTCTCTTCCTCATCATCTTCCATGTTAGGGACCATGGGCTTGGCTCTGCGACCTGCTAGCCAGCTCCCTCCCCCATAGCTTCTGCTTTGATCTTGGGCCTGGTCCTAGCACAGGTTCTGGCATCTCTTGCATGAGCGATTATAATCTTTCTCAACCTTTGCTGAGGATTAAAAACATCAGGGGAGCCTTAAAAACTACCAGTACTTGAGCTGAAGCCCAGACTAATGAACTTGAGTCTCTGGGGACCTAGTGTTTTTATAACTTTTTATTATGGAAAGTTTCAAACTATAAAAAGTAAAAGTCAGCCGAATAGTATAATGAGCCTCCATGTACCCATTAGCCCAGTTCGGCAGTTATCAACCCATGGCCAAGCTTGTCTCACTAGGCCTCCACCCACTATCATATCACTTCATCTATGAACTTTGCAGTGTGTATTTCTGAACAATTAGGGTTCTTTGACGCAACAGCAACCACTACTAATGTCTGAGGATGCTTAGTGGTAGCAGCTCTAACTACCACTAGGGGTGTTTGATCCCCAAGACCATAAGAAGCAAACAAGCAAGTAAGCAAAGAACAACTAACCGCAACACTGTTATCACAGCTGAAAACAGAGTCTTTACCGTCATTAGATATCAGTCAGTATTCAGATTCTGATTTTCTCATGCATTTTTATTTTTTATTTTTTTTATTTTTTTAAATTTTTTTTTGTGTGTGTGTGGGGGTCTGGTTGTGGGGCCTGAACTCTGGGCCTGGGTGCTGTCCCTCAGCTCTTCAGCTCAAGGCTAGCGCTCTACCACTTGAGCCACAGCACCACTTCCAGCTTTTTTATTTTTTCTGCTTATGTGGTGCTGAGGAATCGAACCCAGGACCTCATGCATGCAAGGCAAGCATTCTACCACTGAGCCACCTTCCCAGCCCTCTCATGCATTTTTAAAATCTGTGTTTACACTGTTTGTGGGACTGGTCTGAGTAGGACCACCCACTGCAATGGCTGGTCTTTTCCTTTAGTCTAGAATCCCAGTAGTCATTTTCCTTTGATGGGCTTGTCCTCAGATTCCTTATTAATAGTCTCCTCAGTGTTTCTTGTAAATTGCTAATGGGTCAAGGAATATGAGCAGATTCGTAAGTGGCTTTCTGGTTGTCTTTCTTTTTGAGATCATAGCAGCCACTGATAACTGATACCTAAAGGGTTGCTAGATGGCAACATTATCATTCTAACCAGTTCTTCTTCATTTGCTAACCAGCACACTTCCTTCTATTACTCTTTGGTTACCCAGCAGTAAAGTTCATAAAGAACTAACTGATTACTGAATGCTGGTGGCTCATGCCTATAATCCTAGCTACTCAAGAGGCTGGGATCTGAGGATCGTTGTTCAAAGCCAGCCTGGTCAGGAAACTCCATGAGACTCTTATCTCTAAACCAGAAGTGGTGCTGTGGCTCAAGTGGTAGAGCACCAGCCTTGAGCTGAAGAGAGCTGAGGGACAGCACGCAGGCCCAGAGTTCAAACTAGCAAAAAAAAAGAAAAAGAAAAAGAAAAGAAAAAAGATTTGTTTACCATATTTATGTTTTCAAGGTATCAAATTGGCTCACCAACATCCTTCAGTGTGGTAACTCATGAGAATTTAAACTTGTGGGTTTAAGTGTATTGACTATACATCAGTGCACAGAGTTCTTCTGGTGCTTATTGATTCTTCCCCATACCACGGATGGCCAGTGGGAGCCCCTTCAGAGGGCTTTACAACACCCAAGATTCAGGGGCAGCCACCTTGCTGTCTGGTGTGACCATGTCCTGGACTCATTTTGTTACATCCAAGAGTCCTGGTTCCTTTTCCTAGAAAATGGTACATGAAGGTCACCATTTGGCATTACAGGCATTCATCATCCTCAGATTAGCCATCATTACTAGCAGATAATGATGTTTTACAAATCTCCAAAAACTTTAATGTAGCTCTGGGCCTAAGTAACATTGACTTTCAGAATAATGCCCAGTTCTGAGGGTGACTCATTATATCTACCACTCCTTACCTGCTCTTTTGTCATCAGCCTTCCTGACGCCCAGCTTCTTGCTTGTGGAGGCTCTAACTTGCCAGGCTAGTTTAAGCCTAGCTCTGACTGGGTCAATTCCCCTGTGTGAGATGCCTCCATATAGTCCCATCTGCCTAGCGGATGTACCTCCTCTTAGAGCTTCCTCACCTTTTTCCTCTCCTGTGTCCCTCTGCTCCAGGCACTTGCTGGAGCCTCAGCACCTTGTTTATCATGCTGGCAGATAGGTCCCTGAAGGAAAGCACCAGCTCCAGAGATGAGCTTCCAGGGCAGTGCTGGCCCTGTGACCAGCACTCGTAAGACCACTGGCAGGTGTTGGCCCCTATGTGCGTTATGTCTCCATCTGGAGATGGGGGTGCAGTTGGGTGTGATGGGTTTGTATTGCTCAGAGTGGTGTCTGGAATATCACAGGTGCTCAGCAAGGGAGGCTGTGGTGTGCTTCATTTGTGTCCCAGGTTTTTACCGTAGCCAGAAACCTCTTGGGGCACAGATGGGCGCCTGTGTTCTCCGAATGCTCAGCCAATGATGCTGTACCTGAAAGGCTGTCAGCACTTAACTTACGACCCGGGCCCAGTGGGAACTGTTGACCTGCCCAGAGCCACAGAGGAAGTAAAGGGCAGAGGTTGGCACTGGCTTCCAGCCCAGTGCTTCTGTTCCACAAGGCTGCCTCTGAGGCCAGAGGATTCTGACAAACTGGATCCAGATTTTTAAGGTCTATGGTGAGGAGTAGGTTCCTTGTTTCATGGAAACCAAACAGGAATCCTGTACAATAAGCTGCCAGCCCTACCATGAGTCTATCTAATCATGTACTGTTTTCCCCAGATTAGATTTTTTTTTTTTAAGAACAGGAATCAGAAGTCTGAAAAGCCAAGTGTCTGATTCTGCCTTCAGTGCCACACTACTGGTGAGGCTGGAGAGCATTGGGTTGCTATGTTGTTTGTAAACTGGCAGGTTGGATTTGTTAGATGTTGCAGAGAATTCACCTCTATAAGAGTCTTTGTTTTGGGACTTTAAATTTGAGGGCCACTGGGGACATTCAGTGCAGTCAGCTGCAGCACTCAAAACCCGAGGTGTCTTAGAGAACCTAAACATGTCTTGGTTTCCTGTCTCCCTAGGGGTCAGAGCCCCATGGACCGCGCCAAAATCTCACTTGAGGCAGGAGGATAAGCCCAGCACCAAGCTCTTGACCATTCTTTCAGCCTTCCATTCATTTAATAAAAGCCTTCTCTGTGAGAAATGGGGCAAATCAGTGAACAAAATGGACCAAGAACTTTGCCTTCATATTATTTAAATTCTAGTCAAGGGTGAGAGGGCGCATATATGATAAGCAAAATAAGCCAATGATTTGAAATGTAAGACTGTAGTAAGTGCAGTGGAAAAAAGAGCAGAGTACAGAGGGGTGGAAGTGAGGGAATGAGAGCCTAGCTATATTACCAGTGATCAGCATAGTTGTCCTTGGAAAAGAGACATTTGACCGAAGACTAGAAATAGCCGAGGCAGCTAGTGTGGATAGAGGACATGGCTGGCAGGGAGCAGCCAGCACAAAGGCAAGAGTGTCCATGGCTGGATTGGAGGGGGCGAGGGCACAGGGCAGATACTGAAGGGCTTAAGCTTTTACTTTGAATGAAGGAAGACCCTGGAGAGTTTTAGCAAGGCCAAGGATGGCCTGGTTGGATTTAGATGTTTGCAGAACCCCTCTGGCTTCCCTGTTGGGAACAGGCTTTGGGTGATCTGTTAGGGGGCAATGGCAGAGGTA